CGCGTCCTAGAAAATTCATTTTGAGAAAATTAGGTCAGTAGTTTTTAATTCTACTCGAAATGAATTTGATGGCTTTTTCGCATTCATCGTTTCTAGTGGCCATTGTTTTTTGTCTGAAATTTATAAAAAAGAAATTTGGTAACAGCTGTGAATAGGAGATGAATCAAAACAACGAACGTCCATTCTCGATTCAACTTTCAAGGTCTCTTCTCTCTCGCCCGCGCAGAGGGCGCGCTTGTTAAACAAAGAAAAATGATACAAACGAAGTATTTCTATCAATGTTGACGACACCATGTCAGCACCCAGGGTCTTTTTTTCTGTCAGAAACATTCGAAAATTTATCGAAAAAACACAACAATTTCTGGCGAGAGAGTGTGCGAGAAGAGGAGGGTGATGAGACAAATTTAAAGGTGCGCGGTTGAAAATAGGCGATGGTTTCACAACGAATTAAGCGTTACTGTAGGTTGTTTTTTCTCGTTTTGTCTGTTTCTTTTTTCGTCCAAAAGTGGTGAAAATTTTAATAAAAAAGCTTGATTAGAGGAGATTATTCATCAGCAAAATATAGAATTTTTACTAGAATTCTGCCCAGAAGCACGTGCTTGATCTCAACAAATAATCCAAATTAACTCGAATCACTTCAGATGGAACCTAAAATTAAAAAAAAAATTATCTATTCACTTATAAATTGCACAGATTTATTACGGAATTCAAACAAGTTTTAAAAAATATAAAAAATTGTGTCAAGTGTTGACTTCATTGTGAGCATCGGAAATGATTTGAAATGGAATGTTTGAGAAAGGGGCACATGGAACAATACATAGAAAACGAAAACTTTGAATTCAACAACAAAAGAGAATTATTCATACAAATCAGCCCAGCTGTTGGTGGCCAAATTCATGAGACTGTCCAGCTTGATTTGAACCGTTTTTAATAGAACCTGAAATTACAAAAAACCGGTTTAATCTTCCAAAAATGCGTCTCATACCTCGTCTTTGCTCTCTCCAAGCATCTCAATCTCATCGTCGAGAATTGCGAGAGCTTCCGCCATTAATTCTTCTCCTATCGGACGAATCAACGTTCTCTGGAGATGCTTGAATAGTCTACTCAACTGCATTGATTTTCTAGTCGCATTTTGAATTCTTCCTGCCTTCAAGCTTGTCAAAATCGCGTTGAAAAATATATTGAAATGTTGAATAGTAATCGTCTGGAATTCGAAAATTTTGTCATTTCGGAACAAAAATCCAGTCAAACCTGATCGTTGGCTTTGAACAGACGCACTGCTCGCAATGCTTTTTGTTGAAACCCTTCCTCTAGATTAATATTAAAAGCAAGTGTTTCGATTTGCTCTGCCAATTTCAGAAGGCTGATTGTTTCCAATAGCAGTCTAAATTTAGCTGATTAGATTATTTATCAATTATCCAACACGCTTACATATCAACTTTTTCTTCCGGATTCCATTCTTGTGGAGCTCGCTGCATGTCTTCCACAAAATCTTCCATTTTCACACGATTTCGGTTGTTTTGAACGAAGTTCTGTGCTTGACTATTGACCCGATCTCTAGCTCGAGCATCTTGGTTTTGAAAATTCGAACCGTTATTCACTGGCGGTGTTAAGCCATCAAATTTTTCTGGTTTCTGCTCTGAAGCTGCCTCCTCTTCTTCGTTTCCCATTTCCACGTCATCTACCTCCGGTGGATTCGGAATAATCGGAGAAATCGAAGGAAGCGGTGGATTTCGAACACTTTGAGATGATCTTATTGCTGGTTTAACGACCGTTCTCTTTCTATAATCAATTTTCGTTTGAAAATCATTTTTTATTTGATAACTCACTTATAATTCTCCGGTTTTCCTTTGAAATACTTTTTTTGATTTACTGACTGTTCAGATTTGAGAACAATGCCATCAGGAGAACAAAAGAACGTAATCTTTCTCTCATCGGTCAGATTCACAATACAATTCGCATCTTTCAGTCTGAAATTATTCAATTTATAAGTAAATTTTGCGGAGGAATTCGACTCACATTTGGTGGAACCTAGGGCTCACTGGCCTACTGAAAATGAAAACGAGTCGGACCTTTTCCATTAACGTAAATCCTTGAAGATCTTCTATTCTGTCCAACCTTGCCTTTAATCTGAGTATTATTTGTTACCTTCATAAGTTATCGGAAAATGTTGATCTTACCTACGGCTAAATGCGATTGCACTAGAATCATAATTGGCTTCAGTTTTAGCCAATTCGCACCATTTCACTATGTTTTCTGGATGTGTATAGTGTCTGATTCCATTCAGAATAAATCTGATCGCCTTTTCACACAAAACAGAGCCGAAGGTCATTTTTCGTCCGAAATTAATTATAGGGAAGTTTGGCAACAGATGTATCAGTTGAATCGAAACAACGACGAAGAAACGAAAATCGAACGTTGTTTTTAATTCGAATTTCCCTCGGTCTCTTCTCTCTCGCCCGTGCAGATAGGGCGCGCTTGCATCACAAACTCGCGCATTTGGAGACCCCGCAAATTCCGGGAAAAGAAAAAACCGGGGAAAAAATCGGGGAAAAGTGAACAACGACGAGGAAACGAAAATCGAACGTTTCTCAGCAATTTGTTTCGGCGGAACGCGGTATATTTCGGCAAACGCGCAACAATTCTTGGCGGAACCAATACTCCCGCGTATTCGCCAAAGC